ACTTACCTTGTACAAGTCATATGTAATGCATTGACCAAAAATACAATAAAGGTGGTAGCTACCGATAACATCAGCTTTAACAAAAAAAAAAATAAAAATAAAAATAATTATAATTAGGATTAGAAATAAAAATTAATATATATTAAATTTTATAAAAAATTTTTTGTTAAAATACAAAAATAGTTTTATAAATAAAATTTAAAAGATTTTTTAAAATAGTGCATCTGCACCATGGTGCACCTCTTATGTAATACAAATAAATACAACTAATTGATATATATAATTTATATAACAGATATATATCATGCTATTACACAAGGTCATGTGTTATGTTACACATGATTATATGTGTTATACAAAGTTATATAATTCAACTAAAAAAACTGTTATATATTAATATACTTACCCTAAAGTATAATGAGTGCACTATAGTACATAGTGCACCAAATTATAATTTTTATTTAAATTATATATTAAATATTTTTTTAAAAAAAAACATTATATTGCAAATCAATAATTTTATTAATTAAAATTGATACGTATAGTATAAGTATTACTAGTAAAATTTAGTAAGGACGAATCTAATTGTAACAACCTGTTACACTCTTATTTGTAACAACTCAATTAGTACAACCAATAAAAATAACCAAAATTTCGTATAACTAAAACCCTAACACTAACTACTATTGGCTAATCAGAGGTTGTTACGTGTAACAGGTTGTTACGAGAACATTTATTCTTTTTCTAAAATAAAAAAAAAATTTAATACAGTATATAGTTATTTTAAAATTGCACTGTTATAAATTATAGAATCACTCTAGAATAGTAAATCATTTGATATGCAATACCTAGCTATAAACACAGTCCTATTTACGGCACAATTGTGCTTTAATTTATAAACCAGTTTGATGTAACCTTTACATAAAACGTAATTAAATGTTGTAAGTACAGAAGTATGCATCTATAAATACCGTATTCTGGATAAGCGTTTTTTTGATTTTTTTACTTCAAGAACATTATACAACGACATTAATCTTTTTATTTATGTAAAACAAAACAACATAAAATACAATTGTGGCCAGCGGGAGTTTCCCGAATCAGTGTATGATTGGCAAGCCGACTTAACCGTATCAATATTATCGATTCGGTTAAGCTTATAAGCTTTTAATCGACTACGATCATCACTTAAAGGTCTGGTTCAATCGTAACACCCTTTTTAATTTTGCCCCATCCAATTAGTCTAAATTATGAGAATATCAATTAATTTTCGCGTATATGTAAATTATTATTTCCAAGCTTGATAATTTAGATGACACAAATACAATACCGCCAATGTTTGTCAATCCTACGTGATAAAGCAATCTTTTCTTCGATCTCGGTACAAGCGGGACTTGTTAACAGAATTTTAGCCGAATCAGTTCTAACCGACATGACGCGGCCGCCCGTTGAGGTAGATCCTATGTTAACCATCAATACCTCATTTTTGGCAAGTCTTGACACCTATATTGTAACATATAGCAATTTAATCATAAACTATATAAATAAATAAGATCATGTAATCACCTTCGTCTGCTTTTTCTCATCTGTTTTTACGCCTAATAATCTTCTGAGTAAGAAGTAATTAATTTCTAGTTCAGTATAAATATTTGGCAATTTGCCAACAGCACCAAGTACTTGGCCAACCAGACGATCCGCACGGCAAAGAGTTGGATCAATTCTAGTGCCAACGCCTATTCGGCAAATATCAAAAGATGAATGATAAGCATAAGTAATTGAAACTTTAAAATATAATAAATACACACCGATTAAACCACCAGGAACAGCAAATTTTAAGTCATTATGTTCTGCAAATAATGAAACTATTCGCGAAAAAATAGGTCGATAATGTATTTGACCTTCATTGTCTTTAGTAAGTATCCCCGGACGCACTTCTATTTCATCACCAACCTGAAGAAATATTATAATTAATAAAAAATAACCCCCCTCTTTAAGAAACAGATGTTAAAAGGAATCTATTAATTATATTAATAATACCTTTAATATACCACGCAAAATTGATCCGCCAGCAACACCACCTTTTAAATCATCAACTTCAGCACCAGGTTTATTGACATCAAAAGACCGAATAACAATTAATCGGGGATCTGATGTAAAATCGCGAATAGGAATTGGAATTCTTTTCACAATGTATTCATTAATGGCGTCAATATTATATTTTAATTGCGCAGAAATAGGTACAATTGGTGCGCCATCAGCAACAGTGCCTAGTCAAAAAAAATTAAATTAAATTAAAAATGAAATATGTTAAGAAATAAATATATATATGTTAAGAAATAAATATATATATGTTAAAAAATAAATAAATAAATGTATATTTAAAAAGTAAGATACCTTTAACAAAGGACAAAATACTCTGATAATGTTCTTCACAAGCACTTTCCTTACACAAGTCTACCTTATTTTGCAAAATTATGATATGCTTCAATTTCATAATTTCAATTGCTGCTAAATGTTCACTAGTTTGAGGTTGCGGACATGATTCGTTGCCTGCAATTAGGAGAAGCGCTGCATCCATCACTGCGGCACCGTTTAACATAGTGGCCATAAGAATATCGTGACCAGGACAATCCACGAAAGAAACGTGCCTAGTGTAAATTGTAGAGTTAAATTCTGTAAAGACTTATAAGTGGCATACATTAATTTACGTGGCGTGTTACCTTAAAAGTTTCATTCTTCCACCACATCCAGCTCTTTCACAAGGAGGATTATCTTCCTTGTCGCTACGATATGACCTATAACATCCCGGCCTAGGACATTCTTCATTATCGCATTTATAAATCTAAAACAAATACGTTGATAGACATAATGATTATAAACGTAAACTATTCGATTAAATGTAAAACTTACTTTTGCGTTCGCATAACCCAATTTTATGGTAATGTTACGTTCGAGTTCATTCTTGAAACGAACGGTCTTTTGTTTTTTTTAAAAAAAAAAAAGTTAAAATGAGAAATTGTAAAGGAAATTATGCACGATCATGTAAAATTATACCTGGACTCCAGATATTGCTTTGACGACTGTAGATTTTCCGTGAGCTACATGTCCAATCGTACCTACAAAACAAAGAGCATTATATTGTGTTTGAAATAAATACAAAAAAAAATGCAAATACTGTTTAATAAAAGACGGCGCGTACCAATATTAATTGTTGCCTGTCTCGAAATCACCTCGGGAGAAAGTGGATTTAGTGTTGAAGGATCTATATCAACTTTTTCTTCAGCAGCAGCAACGTCAGTTGTGGACATTTTAAATAATGCACAAGATTAAAGAAAAAAAATTTTTTTAATTATAAAGATGGTACGTAGAAATGGCCAAAATTGGTTAATTTATATAACGATAAATCTTTAAATCGTGACCTAGAAGTCCTGTGATCATCCAGTTTCGATGGACATATCGTATATAATTACGTATTGTTGGCTTGAAATAGAGTCAAGTTGAGTCATGAATTAGTGATGTTACCCAAACTATTTGGGACGTGTCCAGAAATCTGCAGTGGGAGAATCGGCGCAGAATTCTGCTTTTGACGCAGTTCTGCCTTCCCGAAAGAAAAGCAGAAAATCCGTTAAAGCGGGCAATTATGCTTTAGTTTGTGATAAACTATTGGCGATTGTGATAAAATTACAATTTCTTTTGTTTGGTTTTCTTGTTACTCCACCGCAGGATCTGCAGAATTTGTCAGTTAGAGCAGATTCCTGAACACTACGTAGCATGAAGTATTTACCTCCTTATTGTTATTGCTGAAATGCTATTCATCACATAGTTTGGAACGTTTGGGTAACATGAATCCTATTATTCGGAAATTACTCCAAAAAGAGTCAGTAATTGCAGCACTTTTAAATTCTACCTACGTAACAAAATCATATTCATTTATTATTAGAAAAAGAAATGCTCATGTGATATGCAATAGTAATATTTAATACCAACCAGTCGAACGCGAAAAATGGAATATACAAAAAATATACGTATGCTGTAGCGGTAGTGACTATTACTGTATTATTTAAAGTTTGTAAAGATTATGTAATTATCTCAAATGAGTTGACACACTAAATTTTATACTAAGACAGAATGATCCTATTACTGCCTCTTATTAAGGACTATTCAAGTTCAACTTCATCTTTTTTGTACTAGTATTCAGGTTGCCTATTACTTAGCAGTAAGGTGCAAAGGGTTTTTCTATTTATTCTTCAAATCTTAACAAAGCTGTACTTATGCAAAATTTACTCAGACTTTAGTATTACTTCATAACATATCTTTAGTACTTCTGATTCTCAATCCAGATAGTTTATATAAGATTATAACTAGTTTATTAATATATCAGATTAACTTGATATTCTTTTTTTTTTAGTTTTCTTAGTTAGAATTTTGGCAGTTTGGTTGGTAGTATTTTTTACTCAAAGATTTTGTCATCTAGTTTTTCCATATTAGTATTTATTTTCTAGGTCTAGCTTTACAATAGTATTATTAAAGATCTGTATTACTTCTTTACTCAAATTTTCTTAAATAAGTTTTTTGTTTTTAATTTGCATTCTTTTGCATAACTAATTACATAGATGCTCTATAATCTGCCAATTATACTAATGTAATTATTACTACAGATATCATAATCTAATTATTAAAATCAGTTACTATAATATAAATAAAAATTTAAATTTTTATTCTTAGTAGGTTTTGAACTTTTAACTTGTTATTTGAAGAAGTAATAACTTGTTCATTTTACTAAGTTATTATATTTTTTTATTTTATTTTTTAAATTAAAGTTTTTGTTTTTAAAAAATAATATTGTTATTTAAGTTTATTAAATATAAACGTCTTTAAAAACTTTTTATTTTTTTTATATTTTTTTATTTTTTAAGGTGACCTCTTTGGTCTTTTAACCTTTATTAATTACTTATTAGTATTATAATTTAGTGAATTACTACAGAAGAGCATACAATTGGCTACACAAAACAACAAATTGCAGACAACTCTTTCTGATGATCACCTGGACCAAGTTGGCACTGAAAGTAGATTGAAGACTCTGACTCCAAAATGGATAATATTCTTAGTTTTACATTAAGTAAACTTGCTATTGACAAAGCTCAAGTACATGATATACTGAGGAGTAGGTGAAACTTGAATGGTTCTTGCCTTGGGTCAAACTTTTTGTCTGGTGAACTTCCTTGCATATTCGGCATTCAAACTAGAAAAATATTCTAGAAGCAAGTAGAGACAAAATCAGTTCTCTGGTTAAGAATATTAGAAGCAAAAGAAAAAGAAAAATAACTAGAAAAACTTTCCTTAACTTGGATTCTTGCAACAACAATATACCTCCTCTTTATTATTTTTTTGTTTTCTTTTTTTCGAAAAGTAGGGATTTGGCTTACTCTCATCAAAAGATTGACATTGTGCATCACTTCCTTTTGTAGTTATATGCTTGTTTGGACATGGTGAATAAGGAATACAACAAACATGTAAGTTAGTCAATCATGTAAAGCAGATCAGAAAAGAATTTAATTCAGAAAGACCAAAGATATATTGAGATATGAATATATTCTGAGCAGAGATCTGGAAAAATTTAGTTTAGAAATCATAAAAATTTATTTGAATACTGGCCCAATATTTAGATAAATTTAGATTAAAAATTTCAAATATTTAGATTATTTTTTGGTTAAAAAAATTTATTATTAACCAATTAAATGACAAAATTTATTAGTTACATTGATTGAAATATAACATATTTAACATTTTTAGCAATTTTTCACTTAAATTTTGCCTATCATCTTCTAGAAGATTATTATACATGGAAAAACTTCTTTCTATAGCACAAAAAGAAATAGGTAACCAAATATAAACTAATGCTATATTACTTAAAAGGTGAAGTAAAATAGACATCTTATTCCAAAATTTACCTAAATAGTTAAAATCAATTGAAGCTAAATTGAAATTACAATAAAGACCTTATTCTTGCAACAAAGCATTAGAAGAATGTCTTAATTTGGAAATTTGAATTGAATATTTTTAAATGTTACAATTAAGAATTGCTAACTTAACAAATCAGAGGTCAAAAACTTGTATAACAATAAAAAGAAAACAGAAAGGATGTTGCAAAAAGTGATTATTAAACTTTGAATATGCGGTAGCAAAAGCTTGTTGAAATACATTATTAAAAATAAGCAGGTCTGATCCAAGATTCATAATACAAGAATTAATATCATCCCCAAAATCTATACTAGATTTTTTTACATTTTGCAAATAAATTTCAAGTTGTTGAATTCTATTTTCAACAAATGGACTTATGGGTTCATTTTCTTGCTAAAAAAAATTAAGATCAGAAATAAACTTTTTAGCATAATGCTGAATAAAGGTCAAGTAAATATACACTCACCCATTTTCTTCAAAGTTGCTAAAAATATCCATTATTTTTTTAACAGTTTCAAATTGTTCAAGTTTTAACTCTTCCTTGTAAAATCCTTTAATGTATTCTAAATAGTCACAAATATAAAATGCCATTTAGAGCCATGTATTCCAACAGGTAGTGATAGGTAATGACATAAACTTTAATGATGGGTTTGATTGTTGATTTAATCCATGTTGCATTAGGTAGCACATATATCGAGACTTGTGAGCTTTAGAGTGCATGAATGTTTTTTTAATGTTTGCAATTAAAATTTTGACAACATCAAAATAAAAAATTGACAACCACGATTTACTAAAATAACAAACTTATTAATTTTAATTATTAAATAATAATTTTAAAAAAATATTGTTATTATTTATCCAATTAAATTTACAATATGAGCAGGGCAAGTATTATGTTTTAATTGCTGCATTATAGGATTTAAGGTTTTACAAAAGCACTTCTTCATATAAGAAGCAGAATCAGATGCAATTAATTTTGGTAAATTAAATGAAATTTTTTACTTTGTTAACAACTGCAAAATTAGTTCACCCATTGTTAAAAAATTTACAACTTCTAAAAAATCAACTGATACAAGCTTCGTTGTTCCGCGATAGGCAAACAATGTATTAACAACATTATATCCTTTAACATCAGTTGTTTCATTAATGATTATTGCTACAGGCTTTTCATTAAATATTCTATATAAATTTTCTAGATGTTCTTTAAAAACCCTTGGTAAGTACAACTGATGTAAAGTATTTGATGCAGGTATAGTATCACCTTTCATATAGTACATGTTCAAAAATCCACAGACTTTGTCAAGTTTTTCTATTGGTATGTCAGCTTCAACCTATGCTATAAGAAGATCATAAATAACTTTTTTTTTTGGCCAGCCACTGTTAGAGACAATAGAAAACACCTTTGCCATGTTTGATTTTAAGATTTTAAATAAGTTTCATGCTTTTTTTTATAGGTTTTACTATTTATATGTAAAGTAACATAAGATTTATTATCAAAGTTAACATTATGGTTGCAAAAGTGATACATAAGTTTGCTGGAATCTGCAACAAAGTGTTCTGAAAACTCTTGTGCATGACTATTAGCAGTGATACGAGACATTTTTTTTTATTTTTTTTTTTACATGTTCAAAAAACACTGTTTTTTTTATACTAATTGCTCTCCTTTGTACATCTTTTAGTCGAAAGACATTTGATAAACTTATTATTGTGAGTATTGATAAACTCTTTATTGAAGAACAAACTATATAAAATTTAATAATTTATACTAAATTTAAAGACAGATTCTTATTGGTCAAATCATATGTTTTATGAAAATTGGGCAAAAGTTTTGGAAAAATTTGGCCAAAATACAAAAATTTGGAAATATCAAAATTAGAACTAAAATTTGGAATAATTTGAGAAAATTTATTTCCAAAATTTTCTGGGTTCCTAATTTCAAGGTCATGTGCATAATATTTTTTAAAAAAAGAGTTACAGGGGTTTATGAAGAATTGAACTGCTTAAGTGCACTCCAAACCTTGACACAGTACTTCACCTACTTGAAGATTTCTCCTATATGAAAAGTGCCTAGCTCAGACTCTGCTCTACAAATGAATACAGTTTTCATTCTGGTTAAGAGTACCTAGTTTCTAGAGAATAGCCAAATATGAAAACATTGTAGTGAGCAGCAATCGTAGAATAGAGTTTTATCCTGTTAGCAGATTTTCTCCTTTATTCTTCTTATAGATTAGTTTCGTTTTCTTTTTGTTTAGTTTTATTTTATTTTCCATTTTTGTTCCTCCCTTTCTCAACTTTAAAATCAATTTCTTTTTTTTTGTTTTTCTTTTTCCTATGAGAAGATGTCTTC